AGTTCTTCATTCTTTTTTATGGCTGTATAATATTTCATTGCATGGATATACCACATTCTATTTTTCCATTCACCAGTTGATGCACATTTGGGGTGTTTCCACTTTTTTGGCTATTATGAACAATGTTGCTATGAACTTCATGTACAAATTCGTATTACTTTTATTATTTAAGAAAATACTGCTTTAGAAAAATTACTCAAATACCTTTCCAAAAATAGTCAATAAATCAAACTTTTTGCTAACATAGACTGGCTTTGTGCCTATTAGTCTAAAGCATATAATTTTAGTACACTCTTAAAACATCTAACACCTGCAAACACCTGGACAGGATAAACTAGGAACAAGCAGACATTCTTGCATAAACTGTTGGTCAACTAACAAATCTAGTCTTTTCGACATGGTGGAGGTACACGGAGGTATGCTCACAATTTCTATGGTATCTAATCATTATTTCAGAACAGTAGGCCTGTCTTTTAAGAATATCATCTTAGAATATATTTCATCTGTCACATACAACCTTCAGAAAACAATACTTGTGCACTGAATTAAAACCAGCCCAGACCGTGAAATGAAGGGGGAAAAAATCTGTTTTGCCACCCCCTCGTAGAGTGCAACCTTTAGAAAGGGATTACTTCCATTACATTTTCATCAGGGACTGGCAAAGAAAAGTATATCATGTTATTACAGAGCCTGGAAATGTAATGACTTCCAGGTTGCTAAGCAACGCTCAATGTTAAAGGCCCCAGTATCTGTGATCTCTAGAGACACTCTCAAATTTCATTAAAACCTGCTCATAACCATTACCAAAGGGTCCATGTGGAGTTTATAAATAGGCTTCGTTTCTTAACATAATAATGAAGGAATAAAAAATTTAAAAAGTGGCATCAAAACTTTTGTGGTACTTAAAAACCAAATATTTTGGACACTCAATTAGCAAAATCTATAGTTTCTAAGGGTATTTCATAGAAAGAAAGCAAGTACCACCCATTTATAGTGAATAAAAGTGTTTATTCTCTTGAAAAAAAAAAGGTGCTGTGAGACCTCCTCTGAAGAAGGGATAAATACGTTGTGTGTGTAAATCGGGAAGGGAGCCCAGTTGGCTGTCGCATCCACAGTTCTGGAATTCCAAGTCACTTGAAATGATAGTCCAATCATTATTTCCTTCAAGGAGGGTCATGACAGTGGAAAAGCAGGAGGCTGCAGGAAATAATTCTGAGCAATACTTTCAAACTATATTTCCTTTAGCAATGGTGTTGGAAAAAGCCAGTCCCTGAAACAGAAAAAGTTATGGTGGATCAACAACGATCCTGTGTGCATCCCCAGGATGGTCTAGGATGTCTCTGGCTTGACTCCCTGAGATGTTGATGAGACCTGGTTCCTCGGCACCAAGAGAACAGCACCTGCTGCTCTTCCCTGCTGCAGTTCTCTGCGCAGCCCTCGGCTCCCAGCTCACTCCCCTGGTCTTCACCAACAGTTGCTAATACCCATGTCCACTGAGAGGGTCCTTCTAGCAGTACTTTCATTTCTCCTCCGGTGACAGCCACTCTTCAGACACTCACTTCTGGGGTCTTACCCTAGACCTGGTCGTTACCATCAACTGGCCGCCCTCCAGAATCCAAGTCAAGCAGCCCACGTTCCAATTGCCACTTCCCACAGCTCCGCTCTCCCGGCCAGGCCTCTCAGACTTGGGATTCCAGAGCTGTACATGCGACAGCCATCTAGGAGGTCCGACCGGCACGGCACCTCAAACACAACACGTCCAACAGAAAGCGAGAAAGATCCCGAATCCAGCCTCGCCCTCCGTCTGACACAGAGTGGCTGCCCAGCGCCCAGCTACCCCATTTGCTCTCTGAAGGCTCGTCTTCGCCCGAAGAAACCCAGCGACAGAGCATCTCCGTTCTCCCGGTGGGAAGAGAAGGACCAGGGAACCTGCATGAGTGTCTGAAAGAGAAGGGGTTGTGAGCACAGCGAGACTTGCTGGGAGCCCACGGGGCGAGGGTCTCCAGGGGCTGGATGTTCAGAATAATCCTTCATGCTTCATCTTCTGAGAGCGACCTGGACCGCAGCCCTGCCGCACTGGGCGGCGGGAATCGGCGACACCAGCTGGTTACCATCACCTCCCGTGGACCACCTGTCTGCTTTCGGAGTCGCCAGGGGTATGTGCCTAAGCCAGTTCCCCAGGTCACGTCGGTGGAGGCCTCTGTGTGGCCGGTGCGGTGGCTCAGCAAGCCAGCTTCAGCTGAAGGGCAGGGAGCTGATCCCTGCTCACCGCTCCAGGAAAACGCCCACGACGGTGAGTTTCGGGGAGGGGGGCGGGGGAGCACCTTGCAGGATTTCCGGCACATTGTTAAAGCGAGAACACAAGCTGTAGTTATAGGGCCTCCCAACTTCCTGGTACATGACAAAGGACAATTAAATTCTCGGGATGTTCTAAATACACACTAAGGAAGACCACCCTGGGGCAGAACATCGCCCAGCTCTGCTAGCACAAGGTAAACATCCTACTTCTTTCATCTGTTAGCCAACACTGTGGTTCTAGAAAGAAACTGTCACAAAATCAGGACTTGAAACAGGTATTTCAAGAATGGTGGTTACCAGGGGCTGGGGGGAGAAGGGGAGGACCAGTTATTGCTTAAAGGGTAGAGTTGCACTTGGGATGCGCGAGTTCTGTGCCTGGACGGTGGCCATGGTTGCACAAGGTTAATGCCCCCAACTGTACAATGAAAAGTGGGTAAAATGGTAAATCTTATATGTATTTTTACCACAATCTCAAAAGAAAGACAAGCAGCACCAGAAACTACTTGTTTTTCCATAAACAGGTACAAAGTCACTAAGATCCCATTTTTCTACCTGGTCCTTTATGGGGCAGGTCAGACACTAGAAGGAATCATTTCAGGCAGTAAAATAAACTAAAAGATGGTGTAGTCTGGTTACTCTGACCACGCTGGGATCTAATGTGTTTGTTGCATGATTAATTTGACCAGTGTTTTAGAAAATGGTGTAATTTATTTCCAAAGACTGGTCCACAATCTCCTACCCGCAATTCTGAAAAGCTCTGAAACTCAAACTTTTTCCCATAAGTTTGGATCACAGACGTATTTGGTGGCAAACCTGACCTGAGCCCCCAGGGGGCCATGGAGAGTCTCTATCTACCCACTTGCTGTGACAGTCACACGTTTTGCTGCAGAAATATTACCATGCTCAACAGGGCATTGCCCCAAGGCCTCCACCTGCATGGGGGTCGAATCACATGTAGTGTAAGCATCAAAAAGATTGGAAAATCACGAATTCCCAGACAAATCTGGTTCTAAACATTTCGAAGAAGAGGCGGTGGGTCTCTACAAAAATAATCATATCAGGTATTAGATCAGTATTTCCCAAGCTTTGTCATTTTCTACCAAATTCACAGTTTCGTCACATCTACATACCACTTGTGCTATTAGATTCCCTAGTACTTGTCTTCACGTTGACTCAGCTTTTTTATTTGAAAAGAATTATAATGCTAAAGAAAATATTTTATCTCTACTGGAAAAGCTGAGTTTTGGAAAGCTCTACCCTGTGCTAAAAAGGAGACTCTGTAGAAGCCCAGAGGTGTTAGAGACACAGGAGTACCAAGCTGAGAAAAGACTACGAAAATTGAAAGTTCCTGCCTATGCGGCTCAGTGTCACCTAGGGCTAGGCTGGTGCACAACCTCCTGACTACTGTCCCCAGAAGGATTCACCCTACACTTTGAGTCACCTAGACCATGCCAACCTTCTGTTTCTCAGGCAATGGCTCCGCTGAGAGGCAAGTCTTGTTGGGGGTGGAGGGACCCGGCTGTATAAAAGCACAATGTAGCTGTGAGGAGGGTAAATCTCTGTGCCTCACTCCTAGTTCTGTCACCCATAATCCACCATGTAGATTTAACTGGGCCATGAGCTGCCGCGCCGTCTATTTGTCAAATCGGCACAGAAGTTATCCTGAGTACAACCCCCGGCACATCCAGAGCTCCACTTGCCCAAGGCCTCCTCTGGATGACTGTATCTAGAAGCCAACAGACTGACAAACCAGCACGTTAGCCAGACCACAGGACCCCCTCCTTCATTACTGTCAACAACAGCGACTGCAGAGAAAGGCCTCCAAGCCCAGAAGGATAAGATTTACTGTGAAAAGGAAGTAAGTCGGTCCTCAAAAGTACCTTCGAATCAACATCAGCTATACATAGTTTATAAAAATAAAATGAACGGGACAAAAGCGGAAGCATTTCCGTAGAGTACTGAGAGTTAGAAAGTCTCCACTTTGCAACTATGACACATTTAAAATTATTAAGTACACATGGATTTAAGGGTGATCGAAATTCACATTACCAGTGAGGGGCAAACAGACATCACGAGCCTCTAGATGTGCTGACTCGAGAAAGGCAATATCCCTTCTGGAGTTTTCCTGCACCTGACAGACAACATCAGACAGACACAGACTGACAGCAATTCTACAAAATACCCAGCCCGAGTTCTTCAAGATGTGATGAAAGACAAGCAAAGGTTGTAGGACTCTTCCAAACTGGAGACACGTCTACTGAAATACGTGACCCTGGCCTGGGTCCTCCGCCGGAAGACAAAAGCTACAAAGGGCACGATCGGCGCAGTTGACAGAACTGGAACACGGAGGGCAGGTGAGTAAAATAATTGTGTCAGGTTAAACTTCCTGATTCTGATTACAGCGGCCAAGGGGGAAACATCGACCCTGTTAGTC